CGATGGCCAGCACCGTCTTCTCAATGGGGGAGTACCTGAGCTCGGCCTCCCTGAGTGTCTTGCTGATGTAGAAAATGGCTTTCTGCACCCCTTCGTCCTCACGGATGAGCACGGAGCTGATGGTCGACGTGCTCACCCCTAAGTACAAGAAGAGGGTTTCGCTGGCCTTGGGCTTGGAGAGTACGGGCGGGGACGATAGGTACCTCTTCAATTCTTCGAATGCTTCCTGGCACTCCGTCGTTCACTTGAAGTTATTTGCCTTACGCATGATCTGAAAGAAGGGGAGTGCCCTCTCGGCTGACCTGGAGAGGAACCGGTTCAGGGCCGCCTGGCGCCCCGTCAGTCGTTGTACTTCCTTGACGTTACGGGGCGGCTCCATGTTGATGATAGCCTGCGTCTTCTCCGGGTTTATCTCGATGCCTCTCCGGCTGACCATGTAGCCGAGGAACTTGCCGCCCTGGACGCCGAAGGCGCACTTCTTGGGGTTGAGCCGGAGCCTGAACTCCTTCATGATTTCAAAGATTTCTCGGAGGTCGTCGGCGTGGGAGGAGGCCTGCCTGCTCTTGACGATCATGTCGTCGACGTACGCCTCCATCGTCCGGCCAAGGACCGCCCTGAAGATCTTGGCCACCATCCTAGTATAGGTGGCGCCGGAGTTTTTGAGTCCGAAGGCCATGACGAGGTAGCAAAAGATTCCCTCCGGGGTCATGAATGCCGTCTTCTCAGCGTCATCTTCATGCATGGAGATTTGGTGGTACCCTCTGAAAGCGTCGAGGAACGACATCAACTCGCACCCCGCCGTCTCATCCACCAGCTGATCAATGTTGGGGAGAGGGAACGGGTCCATGGGGCACGCCTTGTTCAGGTCAGTGTAATCAACGCACATTCTGAACGTCGGCGGTTTCTGGGCGAGGACGACGTTGGTCAACCATGTCGGGTACTTCACCTCTTTAATGTGTTTGATTGAGAGGAGCATGGCAACCTCCCCTTTGACGAAGTCCCGTCTGTCGGCGTACAAGTAGCGCCGCTTCGGTTTGATGGGCGTGGAGGCCGGGTCGACGGTCAGCCGGTGAGTAATCACCTGGCGGCTGATGCCTGGCATGTCGTCCGGACCCCACGCGAAGACAACGGCGTATGACCGTAGGACGAGGAGGATGGCGTCTCGTTGGTCTTGAGGGAGTTGCTTCCCGACTCTGAGAACCCGCTCCGGCCGGGAGGTATCCAGAGGGATTTCCTCGACCTCCTCGGCCGGCTCCGCATGTGGCCTCTCCTCGTCCTTGGCGACGGCTGCCGTGATGGTGTCTATCCTCTGGCCTTCCCTCTCGGCCGGCCTCGTCAGTTTGAGGTAGCACGCCCTGGCTATCCTCTGGTTTCCTCTGGCGTAGCCGATGCCGTCATTGGTGGGGAACTTCAGACACAAGTGCTTCATGGAGATGATGGCCTCCAAGTCCTCCAGCGATGGCCGACCTAAGATCAGGTTGTGGGCGCACTGGAGGTTGACCATCATGAACTCCATGTCAATTCTGGCGCGGTGGGGGCCGTCACCGACCTCCACGGGGAGGACTATCGTGCCCTTGGCGTCGATAGAGTCCCCGGTGAAGCCGGATAACGGTGTCTTGATCGGCTTCAGCGGAGCTCTGTCCAGCTTCAACTGCCTGAAGGTATCCAAGTACATCACGTTGACGGAGCTCCCCATATCGATGTAAGTGCGGTGGATGATGGAGTCACCGATCTCACACCGGATGACGAGGGCGTCCCTGTGTGATTCCGTCCCCGAAGGCAAATCCTTGTTGGTGAAGGTGATCGCCTCCGTTCGCTGCTTCTTCGGCTGGGGGGGAATGTGGGACACCTCCCCAATGTAGAGGGATTGGGCCCATTTCTTTCTCTGAGTGGCGGAGTCCCCCCCAGTGTTTCCACCCACGATGAGGTGGATGTGATTCTTCTTTGGCGGGGGCTCTTCGAAGTCCTCGTCGTCACTGAGCCTACCAATCTCCCGCTTCTTCACAGAGGGTTCGTCCCCATGTTTTCCGGTGTTTACCCATGTGTTTTTGCGTGGGCCACCTTTAACAAACTGGGAGAGTTCCCCCTGGCGAATAAGGCGCTCGATGGCCTTCTTCAGTGTGATGCAATCGTCGATGTTGTGTGACGAGTTCTTGTGGAACCGGCAGTATGTGTCGCCCTGCTGGATGGCAAGGATCTCCTCGGCCGGCCGAGGAGTCTGCTCGATGAGGCCGTGCTTCTCGGCATAATCGAGGATGGTGCCGACCGGGTGAGTGAGGGAGACCCCCGGCCGTTCCAACCTCGGCCGCCAGTGGCGATCTTTCTTACTCTGTCCACCAGAGCCGTGACGGCCCTGGGCACCCTGGCCGGCCGGGGACGGACCCGGGGCCGGCGAAGGATTTGTCTTCTTGGAGGGATGGCCCCCCTCTTTCTTGTGATTATGGAGCTCGTCGGCGTCGGCGTACAAGCCTCCGCGCTGAAGCGCTTTGGCGTACGACCTCGGAGGGTCGGTGATAAGGCTCCTAGCGTACGGGGAGCTGCGGAGGGCTCCCTGATACAAGGCGAGGAGGGTGCGCTCATCGGCCCCTTCGACCTCCTCGGTTTCCCTCGTCCACCGATCAATGAATGACCGGAGGGACTCCTCGTGCTGCTGCTTGACGGAGAGGAGGTGGGTGAAATATTTCTTGGCACGCTTCCTCCCGGCAAAGTGAGTGAGGAAGCGTTGGGGGCCGAGAGTAGAGAGGAACCAACGGCAGAGGTACTCGTCTGACTCATTCACAATCAGCATGTTGTTCTGATAACGGCTGAAGTGTTCCTTGGGGTCTGATCGGCCGTCGTAGGACTTGATGGCGTTCCCCCTGTACTTCTCCGGGATGGGGGACAAAAGGACCCTGTTGGTGAAAGGGGTCCTGGTCCTGACCTGGATGATGGGGTCACCTCGCCCCTCGGCCAGCTCCCTCTCCAGGGCGCTAACCTTGTTCATGAGCGCGTTGAGGCCGGGGTCGTTGGAGGCGCCGACCGTAGGGATGTTGGCCGACTGCTTGGCTTCCATCTGAGCAAGCCTCCTCTCCAGCTGGGCGATGACTTCATCCCGGGGGTCCCTGGCGGCCGCAGCGGCGCCTGGCTGGTTCCTCATGCGCTCGTCGTGAGCCGCATTGATCCGGTGGCGCACATCGTCTTCGTGCAACTTTCCCTTGCCCTTGTCCGGGAGGGGCTGGTCCGCTGTCCGGGACACAGACCCCAAGCTTTCCCTCGGCGAGCCAGGACGAGGCTCACCAATCCGTCCCGCCATCCTCTCCGAAACCGGACGACGGCGCGTGTCACCTAGCCTGTTGAAGGCAGAGGCTTTTCCACGCGCTGGGATCTGCCCAGGCAGAAGAGGGGAAGCAGGGTGGGAGTGGGACGACGTCGTGTCCTGGGGCACCACCCCCTTATCGTTGCCTATCTGGACGGCCAACAGTTGGGGCTGAGGAGGTTGAGTGACGTTCCCCCTGGTCCTTGGCAAGAGTGCGCTGAGGACGGTGGGGTTCTGAGCCAGGCTGGCGATGATGGCCGACAACGTGGCCTGGACCTGTGGATCCACGGACGGAGAGGCCGCGGCCATAGGCTGGGCCGGGGCGTGATCCGTCTTCTTAGCTCGTTTCTTGTCCAAGCCGAGGCGGGCATCAGGGGCTCCGCCGTTGAGTTGGTTGCGGAGGTCCGTCGTGAGGTTGAAGGCCTCCTGGAAGAGGTCCCCTCCGCCGACCTGGTCGGCCGTGGCGTCCTCATCGTGCTCCCTGGGCTCTTGGTCCTCAGGGATGGCCTTGCTGACGAGGTTGCAGTTTGACTTGGTTCTTCCCATGATCAGTGGTTAGCTGTGCTTGGTAGCGACGAAGGATGCTAACTTGATTGTTCTAGCTCTCAATGAAAGCACCAAATGATAGAGTATATCTAGAGAGAAGTGAGAGCTAGAGAGAGAAGTGCAATAATATGCTTCAATAGAATGAATTTGTAACCCCTATAACTACTCCCAAGGGGAGTATTTATAGAGAAAATACGGGCTGGGCTCCCAAACCTTGGGCTTGGGAGGCCCATTTACAACTGGACCGCTACTGGGCCGAATACAAAGCCACTAATGGGCTGTACAAATAAGTGAGTATAAAATCCGGTTCTGTGAAGTCTTCGTGGCCGACGAGGGCGTGGCCGACGAGGGCACGGCCGACGAGGGCACCCGGGCTCCTTGGGCTCAGGACCACAATCTGAGTTGGCACCTTCTCGGCCGACGGGGGTCCCTTGGCTGACGTGGGCGCCACTCGGTGTCTTGTGCTTTCTGTTCTTCTGAGTATGTGGGTGCAGGGGCTCAGACCCATATACTCCATCAGAACCGTAGTTGTTTGGTTCGGTTTTGGTTTTTACCCTTCAAAACCGAACCGAACCGAACAAACCGAACTAGTTAAAATATACGAAGTAAAATTTATTTGTCCATTGTTAAGCATTAATCCTAACTAATCCTAATATCATTAATAGTTTTTGGTTTTCTTGTGCTAGAGAAATATATTTATTTGTTTTCATTTTTATTTTATTTGTTGTAGTGTGCTTGCATTCTTTATGTAATATATGTTTGATCCCTCAAAGTATTATATCAATTTTAAATCAAATGATAATTTTGTGGTAAAAAACAAAAAAACCGAAACCGAATCGAAACAAACAAAGCCTAATTAAACCGTGGTTCCAAGTTTTGGAGTGTAGAACCGAACCGAAACCGAACCGAACTTTTTACTTTGATTCTATATTTGGTTTTAGGTCAAAATCGAACCGCAAGAACCGAATCCATCCCTAATCTTCATGTGAGCTCGGTCGCAGCTTTGACCCGTCCGTGGAAAAATGGCGTCAGATATAGCTGCGCTGCTACGTGGCAATCAAATAACCGACTGGTCCCACTAAACTTGACTCGTGAAAACCAAACCGATCACCATGCAATTCCGTCTCCTCATTTTTATCAATACGCGGCGCCTAGACACCGCCGTTCCAGTTTTGATTCTCCATCATTCTCTGTATCAACGCAGCACTCACAATGTAATACCAATAATACCCCTTTCATTTCCATTGAGATTCTCGCAAAACCCCTATTAATTAGCTTAATTACTTCTATACTGCTTCCATCAATGGCCGCCGAACTCTCTGTCGTTCTACCCCGAGTCCTCATCGTCTCCAGAAGAACCGTCCGCAAGAACAAATTCGTCGATTTCGTCGGTATGTACGTAACGCCGTCTATTTCTCACATTTTATTTGACTTTTTTTTGTTGAATTAATTTATATACTGGATTGGATTTTGAATCAGGAGAATACCATCTAGATCTTATCGTGAGCTATGGAGCAGTCCCTGTCATCGTCCCAAGGGTCGCTGGGGTCCACATGTTGCTGGACAGTTTCGAGCCGATCCACGGCGTTCTCCTCTGCGAGGGCGAGGATCTGGATCCGTCCCTCTACGAGGCAGGTGCGCCGTCGGATCTCCCTCCCGAGGAGTTGGACGAGATTCGACGGCTGCACGCAAGCGACACCGCTGTCGATAAGGAAAAGGACACAATTGAGCTTAGCCTCGCTAGGGTTTGTCTCCAGAGGAATATTCCCTTCTTGGGAATATGCCGTGGATCTCAAGTGCTCAATGTTGCATGTGGGGGTACATTGTATCTGGACGTTGAGAAGGAAGTGTCCAAGAAGATCCCGACGGAGGGAGACCAGAAGGCCGTGAAGCACATAGATTACGACAACTACGACGGGCATAGGCATGTCGTTAAGGTTGTCGAGGACACGCCATTGCGGGAGTGGTTTAAGGATTCGTTGGAGATGGGGAAGATGGAGATTTGGGTAAATAGCTATCACCACCAAGGAGTCAAGAAACTGGCCCAGCGGTTCGTTCCGATGGCGTTTGCCCCGGACGGATTGATCGAAGGGTTCTATGACCCGGATTGTTACGACCCGGGTCAAGGGAAGTTCATAATGGGGCTCCAGTTCCACCCGGAGCGGATGAGGAAATCGGATTCTGATGAATTTGACTACCCCGGATGCCCCTTTGCCTATCAGGTACCATCTCGTTGAAATGTTGTTGTTTGGAAGTATACATTTTTTATAATTAGAAATACAAAAGAGGGAGTGTAATTAAAAATACAGAAATGACCTATAGGAGTCAAACAAAAGAGTTTTGCTCAAAATCCCTAAACGAAGTGAAAGAATGGACCTCAATTCTTCATGGGTGTTTCTCTTATATTACTCGAATAATACTGAAAAAAATTTAAGTTTACTCACTAATTAAAAAGTATCTTCAATCACAACTGTAATCACAACACCATTAAATATGATCAACTTTGAATTTTTGTTTATAACTTCAACTTTAGTAAGATATGCATTTGTCATTATTTCATTTTTATTTCCAGAATATGAGTTATGTTTACGTTTTTACTCTTGGCTTGATATTACGGTTTTGGAACTTATAGTCTTAATTACGGTTTAGTAAGTGCCCAATAAATCATATTCTTGGTAACATTAGCTGATAATCGATCTATATCTGTGGAATATATATGCAGCAATTTGTTAGGGCGGTGGTTGCCTATCAAAAGAAGCTTGCCACCACAAGCAACATCCCCAAGTCCCTAAAGCTTAATCAAGAAATGGAGAAAAGGAGGAAAATAATAGTGAGAAGCTTCTCCCTGGCCCGGAACATATACAATAATAGCAGCAATTTGAGAATTTCCGACAAGGAGTCCGAATTAGAAGCGGGTGCAGAATTTCTAGAGGTACTCCCTATTAATTTGTACATATGCATGTCCAAACATATGACTCCGTATTTAGAGATACTCCCTCCGTCCCTTAAAACTTTGGCAAGCTTGATCGGCACGGAGATTAATAAAGTAAAAACTGTGTGGTTGAAGTTTGTATTGGGGAGAGGGAATTAATTGAAATCACAAATTCTTTACTGAAAAGGGAAAATATCAAAGTTAGTAGGACATCCAAAAAAGGAAAATTGACAAAGTTTTAAGAGACGAAAGGAGTATCATTTAGCCCATAGGTTCATAAGCCCGTGAGGGCCTACTCATCTCATTTGCTAAATTATTGCCCCAGCCCATAAGGGCCACGAGCCGGCCTAGACCACTCTTTGAAGGTGTGGACAAGGGTACAGTAGAGTATTTGAAACCAGGCCGACCCAGCCCATTTTCTCGGCCCATCAAGGTCGTCTCGGCCCAGCCCATTGACTCGGCCCATCAAGATCATCCCAGCCCATCCTACTAAGTCCGACTGTGCCCAGCCCAGAAGCCCTTTTATACATTATTAATTTTATATACTAATTCCAATATTTCATAATTAGTGATATATAAAAGCAAAATTAAATAGTAGAAGAGAAGGAAGTTTTAGATTATTATAAGCTCATAAAATGTTGTTGTAGAGCTTCAAAAATTCACATATATATATATATATATATATATATAGAAGAATATAGGTGTGGTATTAGTGTATTTGTAAATCTCTTTTTGAAGAGTGCGCTAAAAAACCTTAAATATATTACATCCCTCTCATATAAAAGTTCTCGTCCACTATTCTCCCGTTAACGTAAAGTCTTCTTAATCTTTTACTTTATATATCCAATTTTTAACAAATTTCAGTTTTTTGTGATTTTATAAAATTTTAATGTAGTTTCCGATTATGTAAATTTTATTTACTAAAAAAAGTAATTACGAACAAAGATTGGTTCGTTTTATGGTCAATCAAACATCGTAAACCGTGTGACCAAATCTCTACGGAACGGAGGGAATAGATAATTTGAACTTTCATTGTAGTATTACATTTTTTGGAGTTATATTTTTTTCCACTTATTCAGCTGATTACATTGTGTTTTGTAATGCATAATTTTTTATATTTTTATTGCAAGTTCATCTAGGCCCAACCCAAACTATATATAGACAGGTTAGGCTATAATTGTATCACAAAAGCCCGTTAATCCCAACCAATTAATTAATTTCTATATATTGAGTCCAGCCCGTCTTGACCTAAACTCATTAGTTTTAGGCAGGTTTGGGCCAACCCATTGATGATCGCATTTGATGATCCCTATTCGTATTTAACTATAGTGGTATGCATGTCATCTTTACTCATAAAATTGTGACACTAGATACAATTGGCAGTTTGGCACTAATGGGTGAAACAATTTTTAATGTATGGGTTTTTCACATAAATATTACTAAAATAAAACTTATTAACACAAATATGATTAATAGTTACTACAATGTAGTGACATGGTAACTTAAGTTTAAAAGTTGAACTTAAGTTATTATGATTTCATTACTACTCTAGTCACTAGTCACATTTTTATAAACAATCTTATGTCTTGCCAACAAGACTCTGGCCAACGACGTGGCTAGTCACTCTCCAACGGAATATCATCCATCATGGCAACTATGTCTCTCACTCCTTCGGATGAGAATTGGTACCTTGACACGGGGGCGACGTCTCACATGACATCCTATGGAGGTAATCTTATTTCATACTTCCTCCGTTCCATAAAAGTTGCAACATTGGAATTTATGCACTATTCACGCACCTTACTTTGACTACGATTTTCTAATAATATATATAATAAAAATATTATGTATAAAATATTAATGACTTTGTATTAAAGTAAATTTCCAATATATTAACTTTTTTTAATGTTTACTAATACGTAAATAAATATAATTACAATCAAAGTTGCGTGTTGGCAAACATGAAAGTCAAACTGTTGCAACTTTTATGGAACGGAGGGTAGTATTTTAATAATGGTACTAAACAACTTATTATGGTGGGCAATGACCAATCCAAGCCCATTTTGGGTTAAAAATTGAATTTCGGTTAGACGTCTTACTACCGATAATAATGTTTTCATTGAGTTTGACCGGTTTGGTTTTTCTGTGAAGGAACTCCGCATGGGGATGCCCCTTATTAGATGTCATAGTTCAGGAGATCTTTATTCACTTCATCTAGTCCATTTCAAGTCATATTTTCCTTCAGCCTGCATTGCTATTTTGGCCGAGACATGGCACAACCGCCTCTACCATCCCGATGATCCATGTGTTGACAAAAAACCATAAACTTGAGACTTGTGTTGTAATGAACATATCCAAAGGAATTTTGAAAAATCATCCACAAATAACACATAGTAACGATGAGCATTAGAACTCAAAACAAACGATGTCCAAAGATCACTCTGAATAATATCAAATGGAGAATGAGTATGGGAAAAAGAAGAATGATTGCCCAATTGACAAGCCACACATTCTAAACTACAAACTTTATTACATGGAATAATATTGTTTGATCTAAGACATCGAAAAAATGGATCGCTGAGGTGGTCGAGGCGATTGTGCCATGTCTAGGACGAAATAGTAATCAAGGCAGAAGGAAAATATGACTCGAAATGAGCTGGATGAAGATAAAGATCTCCCGAACTATGACATCTCATAAGGGGCATCCCCGTGCAGAGTTCTTTCAAAGAAAAATCAAAAGGGTCAAACTCAATGGAAACATTATTATCAATAGTAGGTGCTAACCGAAATCAAATTTTAAACCAAATGAGGAGCATGGAGAACATTTTGAAGAAGAAAGGCAGAGTGGGGGTGGGGAGAAGGATGTATTGCTGTGACCCAGAATGGGTATTGATTGGCCATTGCCCATCATAATGCATTGTTTAGTGCCATTATTAAAACAAGACATAAGATTACCCCCGTTGTGACGTCACCCCCATGTCAAGGCACCAATTCTCATTCGAAGGAGTGAGAGACATAGTTGTCATGATGGATGATATGTCGGTTGGAGAGTGAGCAGCCACGCGATCTTGTTAAGGGTGTGGGCTGAGGATACCAGCAGTGATAGGAGGAGGCTGAGAGGGTACACTGCAATGACCATGCATTAGATGGGTTGGGGCATGGTGGTATACTCCATGGGGGAGGCCAGTATCCCCAAGGGGGCATGTGCCAGGGGTTTCCAACCAGAAGGACGGTCACGTCCACCTCTTGTAGAGCCACGACCGCGACCATGGCTATGAGTGTCACGCCCCGGACCTACCCGGACACGTCAACAACCCGCCGTACAGTACGAATAATCAACCGCAGTCCGACTCATCCATACTATACAAGGCGTCTTGAATACCATTCACACATAGTACATCCATAAACAAACATAATGTAAAACATTTATTAAAGCAGCGGAAATAATTGATACAAGTGTTCAAGCCACACTTGGCATAATTAGGCATGCAAGCCCCCAAAGTAATTATTCAGAAAATATTATCCATGAGCATTATTCATATTGTTTTTTCAAAACAAGAACGGGAGAAGCACGAACCAAGTCTTCTCCTCGGAAACCTCCTGAAGCAGCGGCTGATGGTAGCAACCTTCAAGTTCTACCTGAAACTGTGAGGTGGCCTCCCACGTGAAGGGGAGGTCAGTACTTGGAAGCATTTGACAAGTACAATGACAACTATACTAAGTATAATCAAAGTTTAAATCTCTGAGGCCCTCAACTAGGGCATTATTACATTATAGTTAATCCGTTCATTTAATATCAATTCATCATTTTTTTATCACGGTCTAGAGCCCAGCTCATAATCACCGTTATCTACTACGGTCTAGAGCCCAGCTCATAATCACTGTCATCTACTACGGTCTAGAGCCCAGCTCATAATCACCGTCATCTACTACGGTCTAGAGCCCAGCTCATAATCACCGTCATCTACTACGGTCTAGAGCCCAGCTCATAATCACCGTCATCTACTACGGTCTAGAGCCCAGCTCATAATCACCGTCATCTACATCGGTCTTGAGCCCGGCTCATAATCACCGATTCCTTATAATTCAAATTCTTAGGATCTAATTCATCCATTTCTCAACTAACATTTCCAACTAATATTTCAATGCTAGTTATTTATTTATTTCAATATAATTCATTCTTCTTGCATAATTGGCCTTAATATCAAGTATCACTTTCATACCTTCATGGCTTCTCCTCATGGCATCAAAGTATACTATCCCAAATGATATTCATGGTTGGTACAACCATCATACACACATATTCATAACATCTAAACATACACAATTTATTCATAAATTTGTGTATCATGCATACTATAATTTTAATCAATAGTAGTTCTATTTATGCATTATTAACCATCAACAATTCATGCACATCACATTTATATTCACTTAGGAAATCCCATGAAATTAACCCAAAGATTATAAGTATCATAGTCGGTCATCCTCACCTTAATTAAGCTTAAGCGCGTTCTACGTTTCTCGATTGAACTTTGACCAACTCCGGCGAACTTTGACCAACTCCGACGAAACTCCGGCGAGGCTCAAAAATACTTTAAATCAGGTTCCTAACAAGGTTTTATCATCACAAAACCCATATCAACACAAATAACCTATAAAAGGTTATTTTCCGGCAAACCGGTCGATTTGGCTTCTAAGTCCGTTTTTTGGACTTAGAATCACCTTCCAACCCATTATTCCACACTCAAATCATGTAGAACAATACTAAAAGTCTTTCATATGATATATATCTTATATGCTAGAAGAAAAACAAAGAAAAAGTTATGATAAGGTCATTACCTTAATTTTCACACTTTTTCCTAGCTTTTTCCTTCTTAAACTTTCTTCTTGGACTCCCTTGAGCTTGAGTTCGGATTTGGGGCTATGGAGATGAAGTTGCAGAGGTTCTTTCCTCCTTTCCCTTGCTGCTGGCCGAACTAATGAGGAGGGGATGGGTA